TTTTGCTCCCTTTCGCTTATACAGTGCGTTTCAAAAGTATGTGCACACCCTCAAAATTCACGTTTGAAAGGGAACCATGAGGTTTCGTGCTATGAAATCCTTCTCAATCGATTTCTCGTAGTCGATAACCTATCAATGGAAGCAAAGCAGATAATATCGCCTCACTTTCGGAAAAAATTTTTTGGATGAAATTTTTTTCTTTGTTTCAAAAGTATGTGCACACTTGAAGAAGATCAGATTTTGGCGCCGAATTTTCCACCGATTTCAATCCGACTTTGCTGTTTTCATTTCGTCATCATGTCAATTCGCGCCATACTTCTTCCTGAAGATGAGCAAGCTCAGATCAAGGTTCTGCATGATAATGAACGTTCCAATCTAGAAATCGCACGATAACTTGGTCGTTCTCCTTAATGCATTCGAAGATTTATCTGGCACCCTGATAATTATACTCAGCACACACTCCGCTCCATCCACGATCCTTGACTGCTCAGAACAACAAAAGAGTAGCCCACATCCTGTCGGATTCTTCATTGACAGTCCGAGCTCAGATTTTTATTCCAGCCTCGAAAATGACCACTAAGCCCCTCATCCGCTCAAATGAATACACCACTCGACAGACGCTGAGAAAGGCTACTCACTTCAAGGCCCAGCACAAGTTAGCCACATTGGAGTCTGCTCGTACAGACATGGCAACATAGGATAGGACACCGGGCGAAGACACGGTTTTTCGAGAATTTCCTATTTTCAAAACAAGTGCAATTTTTTCTCTTTCTTAGGTAATCTTAATCTATGTGAGAAAGTGTATGCGGAATTTTGACTGGGGGGGGATTTGATACTGGAGAGGCTTGGCCGTGAGTCGCTCGTGCTCTCGAGAAGGAATTTCGGAAGAGGCCCGTTGATGGGTCTGCGGCGGTTTCGCAATCAGCGGAAATTCAGAAGTTGCCGTTCCATTATTGCGTATGAACTGTAAAGAATACCAAGCAGTGCTCCAATGTCCCTGTTGCCCTTCCTTAGCGAAGTGGAGCGAAAATTGCATTTTTCAGGCACCGCAGGACACTGGTTTTCGCGCAATTTGGCTCGCAAAAAGGAATGAACCAAATGTTTGGCTGGCAAGCGTTTTAGATTTCGGCTGGGACCGGCATGATAGAATAAGACAACCAGATTAAGGTCCCCGTCAACGGGACCTTCCTTTCCTGCGCAAGCTTTCTATCCTCCGCTATGGTCCCTTCCTCCTGTGACACCAACACCTGGGAAGTGACGCGTATGCAACACAATGGTGTTTCAACAGTAGAAGGGACACAATCATGATATGACGGTAGATTTTTCGCTTCCCTTCCTCATCCTCCCTTCCTCTCTCCACTGCCCTCCAGCTGCCACTGCAGCACCATGTGGAATGAACGGAAGTGTGCTAAGCAGGTGTTTATATAGCCCTGAAGAGTGTTATCACAACTATCCTGCTACAAAACATTGATATCTCAAATCCTGTAAGCTACCCGATTTGTTAGCGGTTTGTTTATCCCATGAGCTTCCTTCTCACTCACTTCATTTTGCGGACGGACACACATACATACATACACACACACACACACACACACACATACAGATACACAAACCGACACACAAAGTTAGCGCTTTATAAATAGAAGGATATAGATTCACAAAACGAATTGGTGAATGCGTACAAAAAGCGATAGCAGTAAACAAATTCTGTTTTAAAAAAAGAATTCTAAGTGACTACAGAACTACCGTGTCCGATTACAATGCACCTTACGTGAGCCCATAGCATCAAAGAGGAGGAATCTTAACATGGTGTGGAACCAAAACCGGTCCGAATTGGCCAAATTGAACCCTAGAAGAAACTAGAAGAAATCATGAAAGGGGCAACGAAAGTTTGCCGGCCAACCTACTGATCCATCTCCGCAACTTCGTCAGGTAATCTTCCAGGAACAGATGTTTTCGCCGAGTGCTGTTTTGACACAATAAGCCGGTTCATTTCAGACCCATTATCTGCTTAAAAAGGGGCAACACAGCTTTCAGTCAGAACGGTAGACCATGCAGGCAGCGATAGCATCCATTTGGGTTTGACAGAAGATGTTTACAGGTCTCATTATGGTGGATGGAACTTGTGTCACTTTGCGGCTATCTCCCGGCAGTTTTGTACCTCTCTCGTTCTCATGCTTTCTCCTGTAATTTAATTCAATAGATCTTTATTGATTTGTGATGACTTTTGCGAGCTTCATAGAATTGGTCTGATACGGACATTGTTTAGAACCAGTGCATATATTGAGTTTAAATTATCGACGCAGCAATGAGTAAATACTTTTGTTCCTGAATGAGAAAGCTGATCAGCTCGCTGCTCGCGCTTGAGTTCTCTCTTCTCCTCTCTCTCGCCCAGTGTAAGTTGCGACCGAAAAAATGGAGAATCTCAGATGAGATAATACGCTCACAAGAGATTTCATCAGTGTAACGTTACGCAGTATGACCACCGATTAACAGGGTTGCGGACCTCCGTAGTCGCGCAGCTGTCAGTTGTAATACTTTTTTTTTTTAAATGTTTTTTCAAGAATTTAAATATATTATCTATCGAACAGTTTTTGATCAGTGCTTATCAATGTAACACGATTTGATTTCGGGGGAATGTAGCAAGTCTCCTCGGCGCAAACGTTGAAATACCAGTGGAAACCCCCCAAACTCCTTCGCTAAGAGGTCGTGGCCACATGTGGTGCACACGGGCATGCAATATGCTTAAGTGGAGTTTACAAATGGAAGGAACCAGCAGACGAGCTTAGTAAGAGGTGGGCATTGATGCGAGATGGCGGGGCAAAAACATGAGGAAACGAGTAAAACCCGAAAAACGAACACTTTCTTGCTCGTAGCTTAGCAGCAAATTTGATGCGACTCTCACAGAGTGCTCCTCTTTGTTAGAGGCACTGTGACGCTCTCTCACCAACGATTCGATCTCTCCCGCTCGCGCTCTCTCACTCGTGAGTTGTAGCGGTGCATTTGTATACCATGCGCGGCGGAGGCGGTCGGCCAGATCCGTGGAGGCTACATCGCTGAGACATTAGGCTCGTCGAGTGCACCCTCGAAGGATCGCTGTTCCTACACTGGGGTAATTTCCTCTCGTAGCGATCAACATAGGTTGACAAATCATCGCTATAAAGACGAGAAAAGGGTCTCGAATGACATTAATAGGCTAAAGTAGCGAACACGGTCAGCCGATACGCTAGGTGCAACGTTAATTAGTTAGTGCATCTGGTCAGCAGCCTTTGATGGATACAACAACAAAATGAAAGAACTCTCACGTAGTCGAGCACAATAATACAATAACATTGAGCAAACGGGTGAAATGAAACCTAAGAGAAACGAGATTGCTAAACAAACAGACAATAGGAGCGCGACGAAGAGGATGAGTTAAATGGACGATATTTACAGAGAGGGCCCATCTCCCCTCGGAGGCGGTATTAATGGTATTTCTTCCTCTTGCTTCACCACCTCGTTTATCCCCCACAGAGTTTCCAGATCAAATCGTTGACGTGCTTCCTCACCCATAACATGGACCTGAGAAATATGGGTCTCTTTCAAAAACTATAAACATTGAAAAGATACAGTACTGCTATATAATTGAAAGCACATTTCACGACTGAACAGATAGAGGTTACTGTGCTCAAAAGCGGGTGTAATTGGGGTTTTTTTGATCGCTCGCAGTTGGCTGCACGCGCGCCAAAATTGCTTGGAACCCTTCAAATGTCAATGCCGCTAACGATATCGCGAAGGCAGGTGTGATCCATCGCAATGTGGGGTTCGTCTCCTTGGATTTAGCCGGGCCTTTGATAAGTGAAGTCATGGTATAGAGAGGAGATCACAAATGGGATTCCCGTAGAGCGGGGGTGGGGGGGAGGGAGCGCAAACATCGCCCACATACTTTTAGCTGTTTTGGGAGCAATAACCTACACTTATTCAATCGAGGAATGTGTCTACACAATATCAACTCTCAAAGCAAGACACTTTACCTGAATTCTTCCCAACTCAATTTGGAACCAACCGAAACTGTGACGTATGGTCAACTTTCGTGGCTGAAAAACTTAAGGATACTTTCCGTGTGGGAATGCTTTTTTTCGAGCTCGTTCTTATTTTAGCTCTATCACAGAAAAAAAAACCGATAAGTGTTTGAACATTGAAAATCTTCTCGCGTAGTTCACCTCCTTTTATGGTTGCTCATCAGTGGCTCATACTTTTTAGTTTAGCATGTTTAATACATTGTCGCGGTCGCTCCTTACGTCTTACACCCTAGGGTTTAACAGCAGAACGCAGAGTCGAGAGCAAAAGTTTGAAACACATTGAGATTATAGAAAAGTTCAGCATATATTACGAAAGAAGCTCACTAACTGCCGAAATCCAACAAATTTAAAGAAAGGGATTATACAACATCATGAGCTCAATGCAGGTAAATTCATAATTATTAGGTTGGAAAGAAAGTTCTGCAACACTCTTTCCAAATTTTCTTTTTTTCTGAAAAATTCATAGGTAACATTTATGACTAACAAATGGTAGAGCATTCTCGAGGCTTCAATCCACGAGGTGGATATAAGTGCTGCAGTCAGTAGTTATCCAAGAAAATTCAAAAACCTCGACCACTAGTAAATCCGTACTCCGAGTCACTGTCTAGTACAAATCTCCATAACTATGGATTCGTGTCAACGACCAACACTATCTGCAATAGCTTCAATAGGCATGTCGTTCACCGCTACAGCGTGTTCACCTTTACCAGCGCTTTCGATCTTTTGATATTTTTATAAGAAGCAGCAGCAGCGTCCACACACTCCATTACAGGTAGGGCTCTTACGGAAGCTCCACTACAAATTCTTCGTTATGGGCACCATTGTGTAGGTAGAGGCCTAGGCTGCGGAACTCCAGAAGCTGGCCGAGGCAGCTCGTCAGGAGCCCTCGTACCGCGACAATATTTATTTCTTTCATGACATTGCGAATCACCATGATCCGAAAAATGAGCCACCAAGAAATTCTGGAGCAGCAATGAGGTTTTTTACCCCTCATTTATCGTATTCTCCTGGTCAAGCCTTAACTGGTTACCACCTATGTAAGAACTTCAATTATGATCCCTATTACGAACTAATTAGGTGTTCAGTTTGAAGGCAAGGTCGCCTGCTTTTTCGACCTGCACTCAGCCACGTTTTGGATTAGAAGCATTGGAAGAATTTCCAAGCATTGGAGACCAGTGGTGGGCACTCATCCTAATAGTATTGGGGCTGGGCAGAACCTGTAAACGATTAACAAAGATATTAAATTTACAAAAATGGAAAAAAAAGTGCTGCAGAAACTTTTTCCCAACCCAACAGCCCATCAGATTCCTCCGAAAGAATGTCGTTTTGAGTTGGACAAAACAAATTTACTTTGTTCAGTCCTGCTCAAACGTTCCAGCTATTACGTAACACTGCGGCCACCGCTATGCCATTGCCTCGGTTGAAAGGGGCTGCAGATGACCTGGAAGAAACCTTAGCATATCAGAAAAATCCGAGAAAATCGAAATAGATCTAGAACTCTCATAGGATATGATTATCAATCCGCTGAATTCACTAGGATCAGAACGAATGATCATATTTCACCTCAATTTTGGTTATGATTAGTACGAGATTATTTTAGCCGTGATCAGGGCTTTTACGTACAAGAAAAGCTATGCAAAATATGTACCAAATTTGAAACGCATTTTTTTAGACAACTGAACATATTGTGAACAAGTTAGTGGCTTCTTTGCTTCAGCGAACAACTTTCTAACGAGTTATTCTTACCATTGTCTCCACAATTCCTGGTCCATCTTCGCCGAGTGAGATCACGACAATGTCTCGAACACGTTCTTTCTTCAGAAGAGAAACAACGTCATCAATCGATTCAACACTAAACCACAAGTTGAGTATCCTAAGCGCCATCCAAACATTAATAATCATTTACCAAAAATCTAGAAAAAAAGCAGAAGCAAGGTAACTCACCGAATCTCTTCTTTGATTTTCTCGGGTTTCACTGGAGGAACTATCTCTTCATCATCCTCTTCATAATATTCCTCTATGTACTGGTTGAAGTAATCTTGAGACTGCTTGATTTTGGCTTGCTGTGCTTCTAATTCTTCGTTTAGCGTCGAATAACAATAACTGCTAAATCAATATTAGTGGGTTCAAAATAATCGAAAACGTAAAATATCTAAGCACTAACGAGGAAAATAGTGGCCGAAAGGGATGGCTTAATATATGGTCATTGAGCAAACGGGTTCGCGTGGATCGTGATGTCCTTAATCCTGAAAAATGCGTAAAATGAACTACAAGTTCATGAAGTTTCAAGGGGAAAATAATATAATAGGAAAATTTGAAGCTAAATATCATAGCAAAGTCAAAGGTAAAATAATGCGGACTTTGGGAATGGCGCATTAATCTTTGAGCACCTACCATTGGGGGTCGACTGCAAGGGATAAAAAGGCATAGGAAAACGCTGTAAACCCCTAAGTAACGTTCGCTAATGCGAACAAGGTCAGAATCTTGACAAGTTCAGGGTAAATCGCAGCGTAATGCAAAACTCCCAAATACTAACCCCACCTTCCCAAAAAAGGCCAACCTATTAAAAACAGCTTCCTCCTCTTTGAAAACACGAACACAACTTCCCCACATTGAGAGCCCTCCGCAACACGAGTTTAACCTTAAGTGTGGTCAAGCCTTCTACGAATCGCTAGCTGCGTTTATCACGTTTTCAAGGCCAACGCTTCCAGAAGATGCGGTCATTACCTCAATACAGTCCATATTCGCCGTCACCATCTGTTTAGGTGAGGTTATGTATGGCGTACGGATTGGACGAGAGATAGGACCCAACCCTAACGAATGTGTATGAAGTAAAAGCAATGCGGCGTGAATTTAGTACGTGGACGTGAAGGCAGCACAATCCACATCTCGCCCTCTGATTAGGCGGGTCTACCGTTTTGACGCAGCGGAGGCCGCACTTTGTAGAAGACACGTGGATGAGCTGCTTCCATCACACTTCGCTGGAAGCTCAGCAAAGCATTCTGAAAACAGCTTACTCATACGACTCCCATCAAGTGTGGTCACCGCCACGTCAAAGCGAACACCCGCCCAGTCTGAGGACGAGATATGATGTACTGCCTCCGAATCCGCGAACTAAATTCAGTTCAGCCGCCTTGCTTTACTTTATACATGTTCGTTGGGGTCGGGTCAAGGGTGTGGGTACTTAGGACAGAACGCGACATTTTTCGCGCTTCGCAATGCGACATCGCGCGGCAGGCCAGCGCTCCCACAGCGAAAACAGCTACGGTACGAGGGGCGCGTGAATGGAGCGCGTTATTTGCTCTGGTTCTAAGTTGCGACAAGGAATTTGAAGCTTACTAACCATGGACTTGATAGTGAACGAGGAAATGGCCACCAGAAGAGGACCACTAAATAGCAGTGAAGAAAGAGGTAGGTTAATTTTGCAGAGGATGGATGGTAGACCCTGGAAGAGGAGTGGTTGATGGACGTTCGATGAGACTCACGACAAAGGATCAGTTCGTCAGAGTTTGCTATGATATATAGAGTATTACCTAGGCCGATGAGTGTGTAATTACCTCGTTCACCAATAATTTGAAGTGTTCTAGAATTCTAGAATACCACTTTAACGGCATCGCTCGGAATCGTGTAATTCACAAAACATTTCCATTGATGAGAGAGAATTGGTGATTCACCGCATGTCTCAATACAATGAGTGTGAGCGTGGGCAAGCAATAAATCAGAAACTTACAAATTCACGCATGCAAAAAAGCTGCTCCAATCGCGCGTTCTTCATACCGTAGTGTTTTCGCTGCGGGAGCGCCAGCCTGCCGCGCGATGTCGCGTTGCGAAGAGCGAAAAAGTCGCGTTCTGTCCTAAGTACCCACACCCGGGTATATCTCGCAGATTGAGCGTGTAGTATACACGCATCGATCATGAGCGCGCAACCTAACGATAGCAGAATCGCACGGTCGACGATAGGTACTCACCTCACACTAGAACTGCAAACAGAATTGCAGAGTATGAGCCGATACTTAGACGAACCCCTAGCAGCGCCACCAGTGGAGCGTGAGAATCCTAATCCAACAAAAATCCCCACTAGGGCATCAGAGCTGCTTGAGGTTTATGGGTTTGTGATAAGCAAAAGTTCGCTATATTTGAAAAACCATTCGCGGAAGAGCATCAGCAAGTGACAACGTGGATGAATTATGAATTTGCTGGAAACTACCTCTGTTCCACAACCGGACGATACTTGGCGTCCACTTTGATAGTTTCGAGCTCATCGAGAGCGTCGAAATCCGTCAATTACTCTGCAAAATGGACGCAATCATTCAGAAGTTACGGAGGAATGGTAAGGGAAACCTGGGTATGATCTGGTAAGGGGGCGTGGAGTGCAACAGTGCTGTCGCCTACAGAAATTATAATTTCAGGGGAGGAACATTCGGAGTGCGTAAACCATTCGCTCCCGCTTTACCACAACCCTTAAGGCTTCATTTTCTGTGGAAAGTGGACTACTTTGAGCGACGTAACTATGTCCCCTTATTGGATGAAACCCGGAAAGCTTCAGTCATTTTCAGATTATGGAAACCTGAGCAACTCACTTCCCAAAAACTGTGTACTTTAGGTCAAGATGAGGTTGTTTTGCGTAGGTGATGAAGAACTGCGATTTGTTGGTATTCGGTCCGTTATTTGCCATAGACAGTGTACCACGGCCCTCGTGCTGAAACAAAGGTTGAAAAAAGAATAGCAGCAGCATTTGCCAATAAGAAGACATACCCTGAGCTCTACCGAGAGCTCGTCCTCAAATGGTCCTCCCCAAATACTGTTACCGCCTTTTCCAGTTCCCGTTGGATCACCAGTTTGGACCATAAAATCCTTGATATTTCTGGAACGATGAAGAGTAAAAAACAGAAGCATCGAGCTCCACAAAAAATCGAAATTTTCGAGGTTGCAGTAAGAAGTACCTGTGAAAGATGTTGTCCTTGTAGTAGCCGCTAGCACACAATGCAAGAAAGTTCTGGAATGGAGCAAGCCTAAAAGCCTAAGGAGCATGCAACAATTATGCAAGCAAACATACCTCAACAAGCCTTAGGACACTCCTGACAAAATAATTCGAGCTTAATATCCCCTGCTGTGGTGTGCAACGTCACTGACATAACATGTACGCACTAAAATTAACTTTAAATAATCAATTTACACTGCATTTGGGACAAGAAACAGATAAATGGGAAGAAGCAAGAGCTACAAGACCTCCATTTGCGAAAAAATTTAAGCGTAATTGCGTTGGGGCACATTTGTTTGATTGGAGCACAAAAATCTCGCCTGGTGCACAGCCTTCGCCTTCTGTTGCAATTCATCACCTGGTGAT